ATCTAAGGGAAAATCAATGTACATTGTAAGGATTTGGCCCAGCTGAGGCTGGCCGGCGGCGAGGCGGAGCCCTTGACAGCCCAGATGGGGCTGTATTCGACTACTCTCCATAGGCTCCACCCATTGTTTGGCCCTAAAGGCTGCCGGGCATCTTCAGTGTCTGAACACCCAGTTATGGGTGGGAACGGCCCAAAGGGGCCGGGTGGGAATTTAGGGGTTTCAGGCTCAGGGCTTACATGTATCTATCAACATCCCTATTCCCTATCAGATTCCTTTAGCCACCAGCTTCCACGTCACAAATCTATACCCCAAACCCTTAACCCTTTACTCGGCCCTTAACCCTAAACCCAAAACCTCAATCCCAAAACCCCTAAACCCTAACCCCACCTTGAAAGGGCCCCTAAACCCTAAACCCCCGACCCTCCTCTTTAAGGGACCTCTAAACCCTAAACCCATCATCCCCGAACCCTGAAACCCGAAGGTCCTGGACCTAGGGTTTAGGGTTTAGGGTTTAGGGTTTAGGAAACCCCCACCAGCCAAAGCTCTCTTCCGGGGAGAGATGCATCGCCATCTCCGCAGTGAGAAGACGCGACAAATTTTTGAGAACTTGCTTGGCTTCCTTACTTGAACAGGGCTTAGGGTTTAGGATTTATAGGGTTTAGGGTTTGGGGAGTAGGGAGTACGGTATGTACAAACGGCTTAACTGCGGTTTATACAGGGGCGCAGGGCTTTCAGGGCATACGGCTAGTTGTCCAGCTTCCTAGAAAATTTCCCTAAGCCCTACACCCTAAACCCTTAGACAAACTAAACGCAACCTTTGGGGAGGAGAACAGTGGTACGGATGATGATATAAATCCTGGATTACCCATTGAATATACCATAATTCCCATAGGGTGCTTAATGTAATGCAGGATTTATATCATCCACAGTAGTTCTCCAAACTAGGGTGGGTCCTTTCTATATGGGTGCCGCCTTCTTTTTGGCTCCTCCGACGAAGGGGCCTTTTTGGCTCCTCCGACGAAGGGACCTACTTTAGGGAACTGCCCAAAACCCCTTAACCCTTAGGGCGTTCAAGCTCCCTAAACCCTAAACCCTAAAACCCTACACCTTAAAATCCTAAAACCTTAAAACACAAAACCCCCAAACCGACGACTGAGCTTCCTTGTGCGCGGCCACTAAGCATTTCTGGTCCGGACGTCTCTCCAGGGCTTCATAGAGCCTGGGCTTTGTTGGAGTCCATTTAGGGATTGGGGTTTTAGGGTTTAGGGTTTAGGGCTAGGGTTTGGGGTTTTAGGTTCAGGATTCAGGGTTTAGGCTTTTAGGGTTTAGGGCTTAGGCTTTGCAAACCTATAGCATAACCTCTTGTTCCGTCTTAACGTATACGAAGGAGTAGAACTGGGTTTAGGTTTAGTGTGTAGAGCTCCACGCTATCCTCAAGAACGGCCAAGTAGCATCTTCTCCGGATGCTCCCAATGAGCACAGTCAACTGCACGGCGGACTGCCGCAGCGCTGAGGTGTCGGCTGTGCCAGCCAAACAAATCCTAGGTTATAACAAGGACACCCCTTTTTCATACTAGTTAGTGTTGAGAAGGGAACCCAAAAGCCAGAAAGGGCCCAAGGGTGCTACTGAAGAACCTAGTTTAGGAATCGAGCTCTAATCCCTCCCCCCGCCTCCCCCCCCCAAACAAAAAGTGCAAAAGGGTACTACCCTGGCACCTAGAATCCAAGTAAAAACCCTAAACCCCAAACCAAATAAAACACAAAAAAAGTGCAAAAGGGTACTACCCTGGCACCTAGAATCCAAGTAAAAACCCTAAACCCCAAACCAAATAAAACACAAAAAAAGGGCAAAAGGGTACTACCCTGGCGCCGAGAAGCCAAGTAAATCGTCGATCGGAAGGACAATGGAAGACCCGAGCCTGCGTTCTCCATAAGGGCTCCACATGGGTGGTTGTCAAAATAGGGTTTAGGGTTTAGGGTTTAGGGTTTAGGGTCCTTATTATAATACGGCACCTATTATTTAGGGTACCCCAAAAGGGACCATAATTTTGAGAACTACCCACATAAGGGGCTTTATCGGTTGTTGACAAGATGGGTTTAGGGGGTTCCTCAAGGGTTTAGGGTTTTCATAAGGGCTAAGGGGTCTAGCCTTTAGGAGTGTTTGTTCTTTTTTAAAGTGTTCCTCAGGGGTTAAGGGTTTAGGGGTTTAGAGTTTAGGGTTCTATACGGGCTCCATACCCAGACCACCGGAAGGATCTAAAAATTGATCCCCTTATAAGGGGGGTTCCTTTAAAGTACCCCTTCGTAGTATAGGGCCCCAAATTCGGGAATCTATTTTTTAGATCCTTCCGGTGGTCTGGGTAAAAGGGGCTTATCGGTTGTTCCAAAGGTGGGTTTAGGGGGGTTTCTCTCAGTAATCCCTTCATAGGGGTTCAATCAGGGCTTAAACGGGCTTTTCACGTGCTTCTTTAAGGGTTCTATAAGCTAGGTTCCCGAGCAACCAATAACAAGAGTATCCTTTTCTTGCTCCGTCCGAAGACGGAGACCCCCAACCTATAACGGGCCAAAGGGTACGACTGACCCTAAACCCCTGAACCCCAAATCCAAAACTCAAAACCCCTAAACCTTATCGTACCCTCATACTTACTTCCCAAATAAACCAGAGAAATGAAAGGCTAAACTTTCAGATTACTACTAAATTATAAGAACCCAAAAAGTTTCATTTTTGGGTTTTGGGGAACTAAGTAAGAACCCCTACACCCTAACCCTAAACCCCTAAACCCTAAACCGTAAACCCTAAACACGAACCCAACACCCCTGAACCCTAAACCCCAAACCCCTAAACCCCTAAACCCTAGTCCAAGAAAGAACCCTTTCAAAAGAGACCGGGGGCTCTCCAGGAGCGGCGACGACACGCGCAAGATCACCCACATCCAGATCATGTGTCCCGTGCAAGCCAAGATAGCCTTGTCTTTGGAGTGACGGGTTGTGTGTGTTGTTTAGGGTTCAGGTTTAGGTTTAGGGGTTTAGGGGTTTAGGGCTTCGGATTTGGGGTTTCGTCACGGCTTGGGGGGTTTAGGGTTCAGGTTTTCGGGTTTACGATGTAGGGGTTTAGGGGTTCAGCGTTTCGAGGTTAGGTTTTGAAAAGGATCTACCCAGAGAACCCAATACCTCTTAGTTAAGGAATATACCCTAAACCATATTTCTAAGGCCCCTATAGTTTAAGGTATTATAATTATTATTGCTATTATTATTATTATTCTTATTATTATTGTTGTTATTATGATGTAATGTATATTCATTAATTAAGGGGTATTGGGTTCTCTGGGTACAATGCAGGAGAGCCTTGACTTGGATTTTGTACCCAGACCCCCAAAGGGATCTAAAAAATAGATCCCTTATAAGGGGGGGTTCCTATAAAAGTACCCTTTAGTAGTTAGGGTCCCTAATTAGGGGATCTATTTTTTAGATCCTTTTGGGGGTCTGGGTAGAAAGGGATCTATGAAGGTTCTTCAGGGTTCCTCTAAAGGGGTACTTTTGGTTTGGGGGTAAGGTAGGGGGACTATAAGGGATCTATCAGGGTTCTGTTCCTTTGAAGGGATTAGGATTAAGGAGCTAAGAGATGGTTGAGGGTTGGGTCTGTGGGTTTGGGCTCTAGCACTTAGGATGTAGGGTCTAGGGCTTAGGATGCAGTGTCACCCAGTAAGGCCTAGGGGCAAGATTTAGCGTCTTATTCTGATGAGAATGAAGGAAGAAAGGAAAAACATAAAGTGCTAAGAGCCAATCACAGGAGAGCCAAGTTGCCAAAGCCCATGGAACCCACGCCGGCACGACTTGATCGCACGCGCGCACTCCGCCTCTTCCATGATTGGTCCGCGAAGCTGCGAGATGAATCGCCAAACCCGATAGCAGTGGCGGAAGTACCAGTGTCAGCTGTACTAAGTTCCGGTACTTTGGGCCGCAGAAGAGGTCGAGTTTAAAAAGTGTGGTGGTGCAGAAAGCGCCGGCGATCAGAGACAGCCATGCTGCACCAGGATTCTGCGCTGGTATGGGCCAATGGTCCATCTTTGACATGAAATGACCAAGTGAATAGTAGGCACAAACTAACAGCATGTGCTGAGCGGCAAGTACTAGTCCAATTCGGGCATATGCATCGAAGCAAGCATATCCCCTTTGGACTCGTCGTAGCCTCAGTGCTCTTTTAGGTCAAAACAAGAAATACCCCATGATCCGCCGAGGCTTCGGCGTCTAAACGTACCTATAGGCTCCATCGTAGTTCTTTTTGGGGGTTACCTTATAGAATCCTTAATATAATAATCTGGTAAACCAAAAAAGGAACTGCAACGGAGACTATAGGTAGTATCTACCCGTCCCCTCAACTCTCCTTCCCAGACATGTCGAGGTGGCGGAGAGTTGGATCAACCGCTTTTTGCTCCTTTCTTTTTGCTCTTTTCTCTGCGCCGAACCTCCAAAATCAAACGCCGCACATTTCCTGGTCACAAGACCCTAAACCCTAAACCCTAAACCCCTAAACCCTAAACCCCAAACCCTAAATCCTAAACCCTAAACCCTAAAAAGCACCCGAAGGTCGGGTGGACGCCCGAGCCGCGGCCTTCCCCTCTGCCCCCGCCCGTTGAAGGGTGACGCTAGGGCCGTGAATGGCTCTTCTAGTAAAAACAACATCACCTTTAGGGTTTAGGGTTTAGGGTTTAGGGTTTAGGGACATCACCAACAACAACGACAACAACAACAATAATCATAACAACAACAACCACAACCACCACCACAACCGCAACCGCAACCGCAACCGCAACCGCAACCGCAACCGCAACCGCAACCGCAACCGCAACCGCAACCGCAACAGCAACAGCAACAGCAACAGCAACAGCAACAGCAACACCAACAGCAACAGCAACAGAAACAGAGACAGAGACAGAGACAGAAACAGCAACTACTAGTACAACTACAACGACAATGACAAT